CTATCTGCTGTACTCTTGAGTGGATGGCATTCTCTCTTCTGAAATGATTCCTTTCCTTTGAGGTTACAGAATCAACTATACAATTAATTTTTAACCTGATCCTTTTAAGAGCCATGAGCATCGCCAACTTCCTTTCTTATATCACTGTTTTTTTTCAGAACAAGATCTGCAGTGAATCCATACTGACAGATCTCTATTTACTCTACTTTTCCAAGACAGCCTATTTATGCTTTTGCCAAGGGAGATCTGCAATGTCCACCTTAAACATTTTTGAAGGGCTTATCACCTTCCCTTCTAAGCAATGCAAACAGAGAAAGATTAATACCAGATGAGTCACTAAGAGGGTAAGGAATAGCTGGTTACACAGCTGAATTAAATCAGTTTCAAGGGAAGCAATCATTGACAGCTTGCTTAGACATAATTATATCTAGACCACAAATTAGCAGAACTTCACAGAAGAATCTGAAAGAAGAGAGCACTTTTACTGAACATGCAAGGAATGCATTGTGTGGGTGCTAAATATTGAAGTGGAGGCACGAACTGGATTGGAGATGAAAAACAAGTTAGTTGGCAAGACCAAAGAATCACAGAAAGCCAGACCAACATAGCAGGAAAGAATGAGGAGCAGGGAGAGGCTAAACTGTGACTCACTTTAATAGTGAGAACAGGAAGCTAAGTCTGATGCGATGAGGACAGCAAACAGCAAAATAAACCAGGAGCAGCAGGAGATTATGATATTAGAGGTTTGTAGCTCTGGTGCTTTTGATGTCCCTGATGTGAAGCAACAGATGTGTTGAGGTATCCAGTGAGAAAGGTAATTGTTACAGATCACCCAGAAAGACAATTCAGAGGCTGTTAGAGAGATGTGTCAGTGGAAATAAAAGGAGGAATTCTATTCTGCTTTAACTCAGTCAGCCTGACATTAAATGCTTGTCCCATCAGGAAGCCCACAAGCAGTTCTTGAGCACTGATGCAGCTTGCAAACCATGCAGGGGATTAGCACAGGTGTCAGTGTCAAGAGATAAAAGCCTTCAAAGATTCTAACTCTATCAGTACTGGAAATTCCAGGGTTTATGGACAAATGCAAACCGGAAAATTCAAGACATCATACCTGATAACACAGTTTCCTCGATTGGAAGCAAAGATGACAATGGGGGAAATGGAAGATTCCAGTGCTCGGTGAAGGTATGTGAAACATTCAATATCCAGCATGTGCACCTCATCTACAAAGAGTACACCTGGGACTAGCTCTGCGATGCCTTGATCGATGTATTTATTTACCACCTTATTTATCTCTCCTCGAAGTTTGTCTGGAACAAAAAGAAACAGTTGTCCTGCTTGTTAACTATAGCTCTGTCAGAAAGGCTTAAAGCAAGTAAAATTCATGGTTTGGTATCTTACCACCATGGGGAAAACCTCTGTGACACTAGAATTCTGTGGCATTCAGTCCTGTTTTGGGACACAACTGTGCAACAAAATATTCCTACACTGAACTAGGGTGTTTCCCCTCACATGGCTTGTGAAAAACTACCATTTTTTGTGAGATTGGGGAGTTCAGTGGGGGGAAATCAGCCAAACCTCAGTTTAAAACATGAAACTTTTTTTTTGAAGTTTCCAAGCATGGCTGAAAAGAATGTCATTGAAAGAGTAAAATATTGCTACTGTTTAAGTTGTGTTTAACAAAAAAAGAGTGCTATATAAATGTCTGTGAGCATACAGATCTCAAACCTATGTGAGATGTTATGCTGATTAAATATGACATCAGAATAAGCAAAGTGACCTCTGGAACAGACAAAGTACTTCAAAAGATCACCGTTCATGTTTGGTACTGAAACAGACTTTGATCTAAATTTAAGACAGTCACTTAGTGAAACATCATTTCTTTCAAAGCAAGAAGGAGAATAGATCTTCCTGCTTTTCTCCAATGATCTGTAGGTAGGAAGAGCAGCAGTGCACTTAGAGCACCAAGTCACCCGACAGCTGCTTGTAGAGGTGCTCAAATCAAACCACGGCTTTAGAAGTCTTAGTCTTTACAAGCTGTTTTTCTGCTCCACAGAGTTTCAGTGTGGTGGCTTCACGTAACAACACATCCTCACGGGGTTTTTTAGGTTGTATTTGCTGTTGCTGTTTGGTTTGGTTCTTTGTCAAAAGCATAAACCTCACACTCTGGCAGGACTGTTCTGAGAAGGGGGATGGCATTGGTGTTCTGACCTCTTTCTCCCCAGGAAGCTGGGTGCATAGTACAGTCTATGGTTTATCACTGTATGTATGAACCAGCAACATGCTGGTCTGTTTCCAGCTATTGCAATTCTAGCAGCTGTAGTGCTGCTTTCAGAAACCTGAGATTTATGAATGAATATTACAGAGCCATTCATTTGGAGATGCTGCATGAGTAACCCTATTCTTAATCCTTTTCTAACCAGCAAACATATGTTATGTTGGTCTAAAAATACCATGCAGGATTCATACCAGTAATTTCAGTTTTCTTAGGCTTCATCAGTTGTCCCATCATAGAAAGGATGTCTTGCCCACCCTAGGAAAAGAAAGTTACAGGTCAGCTATGAGAACACATACCTTGAGAATTTTATAATCGATTAAAGAAGTTGTTTCTTGCAGTTAACTTGATTCTTCATCTCAGCAGTGGCTGATAACCTGTCAACGGTTAGGACTCTTCACTGCAGCAGTATACTAAACATCATCATTTAGTGATCTCCCCACTCTTTCTTTAGCTCTCTTCATTTGGACAGCATAGAAAACCAAATGAGATACCCTCTTTTAAAAAGGTTTTCACAGAGAAGGTCAAAGGACTGAAATTGTCAGGCAGCAGAGACTTGGACTGCCTGCATGCACAGCTGGTGCTCAACCTGTCAACACAGGAACAATTATTCTCAGTTACAAGACTTCTGAATAGCATGACTTTAATCAGAGGATTTTTTTGTTAGAAAAAAGGATATCTACTTTGAAATTGAGTAGATTGAGGGGTTGTAGAATCATACTGTAGAGATGTCAGCCTTTAAACCTGTATTGCTAGTGGCTTTTTATGACACAGATGGAATTCCCTCACCACAGGGTGTATGTTAAGATACAGAAAGGCGTAATTCTCTTATTTCAGGGTTTTTTTTTTGCTGCAGTCTGTTAAATCTCCAGAGGCCTTCAAGGTGTAACACCTCCTGCTCTTCCTACAGTGGAATCTTTAAGGGTGATTTAGGACAGGTCAGCTTCCTACTCCTTGATTATTCTAGTATCCATCACAAATCTGTGTCAAGTACTTTTTCCGTGAAGACTTCATCTGTGGTGTCATACCTGAGGTCGAGCATTGGCCACATCCAAGTCATGCAGGGTGACATCCTGAATAATTTCCTTTTTCTTGTGTACGTCCCCCTTTGGCAAGGGAACATACTCTTCAGCTTCAAGGTCAAATTCCGTGGCATAGATATCACACCTGCCTTGCCTCTGAGGAAAGCAAAGAAGAGAAACGCAGGTATAGAATTAGTTCCAGTACCAAAACCTTGAGTGACACAAAATTGATAAAGGGCTTAGTTCACAATTCCAGTCCTGACCAGCTTCAGCTGGCAATTCACACATCCCACTCCCTGCTTAGCAATGGGCATACCCTATCTACTGATCAAAGCTCAAAAACTCTATTGAAAACCCCAACATTTTCAGCTGTAAGAATATTCTGCTCCTCTCTCCCCTTCTTTTAACCATATGCAATTCCTGCTAAAGGACAAATCCAGCAGATTAACTAGAGATTGGGAGAACTGTTCAAGACTCCTTTGTAGGTGGGTGATTTATTATATGATACAAAATATTACGCTCATCCATTAAACAGCAAGTATCACTGTACACTACTTTCTACATCAGATATGAAAAGAACGCTAACTAATGCAGTATTCCCTTCTACATGAATATATCTTAGGGAGAAAATACCAGAGCGATAAAAGAAAGATTAAATGCACTGCACATGTCAGCCTGAAAATAACTAAAGTTGCTTGGTTTGTCCCCCCTTCCCTTAAGGATGTCTTGATCTTACAGAAAAGAAAACTCATCCAGACAGCATCAGTGATAGCTTCCTCACCAGATGACCTTAATTGTGAACCAGATCACTGTGTTCTTTCGGCACAAAAGAGAATTTTCTCTCCAGATAAGGAAAACACCAGGCTCTTTTATAAACTTCCATGTAACCATTGCATGTCAGTTAAGGTTAATAAATTGAAGAGCCTTCTGACAAAGGCAGGGAAAGGCCTGCAAGAACATATACACCTGCATCAAAGTGCAGAACTTGTCTTTTACCTTGACAGCTCCGCTGTTTGCTTCAATATAAATAACGTCACCGGTTTCCACCCGCTCCTTCTGCAAGCTTTCAAATATGCTGGGGTCCAGCTGGAGACAGGCAAATAGCAGAGGTGGTCAGAACAGCTCCAAGGTGTTACGGTAATCAAGGAAAAGAAACTGAGTCTAAACTCACTCTCACCAGACAAAACTAAACTCCCTGCGACAATCCCTCAGGATTTTATACAGCTGTAACACTTGGAGTAGTGGGAAAGAATGAATCTGAAAAAAGGTGCACGGAACCTTTCTTACCAAAGAAATCTGCTCTCTGAAGAAAATGATGGTAAGTGCCAGGAACATAATGATACCAGTTCCTGTCACAAAATGTGCCCGTGTGGTGTATATTTATCCCTAGGATGCGGCACTTCTCTTGCTTTTTAGCTAAACTTTACAAGCAAATCTGGCTATAGCACTGAATTATGCTACTTCTTTGGTCTTTATTCTCTGTAGAGCTGTGTGAGGGAGAGTGGATATGGAATACCTTAAATGCTTTTGTTTCTCTCAGTACATGTTTATTCAGTTTTGCTCTGCACTTGTTTTCAGAATGAGCAAAATGCAAGATGATACTTGACAACAAAGACACCTTTCAGCTCTCTCCTACTGTAACTGACAGGGAAATTGAACAACATTGACAGAGACTTGTACAAGAAAACAAAGGGAAAGTGGGGCTGAGCTGGCAACATACCAGCTCCGTTTCCTGTTCCATATCAAACATTCACTACAGCACATCTCCCCATGTGGAAAGAAGGAATGTGACAGAAAGACCAATTTATGCTGAAGCAGGTAAGATTTCCCAAAACCATTTTCAAAGATTCAGTTGAGAATAAGGAAAACAAAACCAGACAAGACCTTTCCTGTACATTTGCTATCATGATTTCTGAGACCCTGCCATACATACCTTCAACTGTTTGGTTCCCTTTGCAGTTTTCAGTCCTATGATTACATGGCTGATGGTTTTGCCATACCCCCCCATAGGATTTTCAGTCTCACACGGAGTCAATTCTGTGACTTCTCCTTCATAAACTTCCTTGGTCTCTTTAATCCTCAACCCTGCAAGAATTGATTAGAATAGTTTCAGTACACAAATCAATGGCCGTACATCCTGATCTCTGAACTAAGAGAAAAGCCCTGCAAAGTATAAAGACAGGAGAAAAAAGTAACTTCATAAAAACTTTACATTTTGGCAACTGAGTTAAAAATAACAAACTGATGAACAGGTATTGTGTTAAAATCTGGTAAAATTAAGAAAAGGTTAATGCAGCATTTGAAATGTTTTTCAAGTCAAGAGCAAAAGGTGAGCTGGATTCATTTTAGCAGAAACTGCTATAATCTCAATTTGAAACTACTTTAAAATAGCTGACAATGACATCCTGTTTCAGAAAGGCAAGTAAACACCACAGTGTCTGGTATCTTCTAGTCACAACTACTGCAATTAACTAAGTTACTTTAAATTGATGAATAATATAGAACTGAGGACTTGTATATGGTTAGATTGTTCCAAAGGAAACCCACCATCATCACCACCACCACTACAATTATGCAAACATTCTAATTCCATAAAAGTTCAAAGTACCCACATCTGACGAGACTCTATAAAGCATTTTATGAGACACACGCATGCCATACCAAAAATAAACAACAGGCTGTAACAAGATACAAGGAATCCATCCTGCCCAGTCCGAGGCTACTGGGACTTGATAAAACTTCCCTTGTTCCGTAACTTTTCATTTTCCTTTGAAATAGACCAGACACTCCACCGGTCATCCTGAGCTGCTGAGAGGCGAATATAAAGAACTGAGGAACACGAGTCTGTCTCCCTCTACTGGACCCAAATTAAGGCTTGGATTTGAAATGAGATCACATGGTAATTTCTTGGTAAGAAAAGCCTGCTTTCTCTCATTTAGCACCACATACAAATTCCTCCAGAACCTTCATTTCAGTAACTTTTTAAAATGTTTTTCAGGTATGCCCAAACATCAGACAAAAAAATGAATGAACCCTTGAGTTGTAAACCTGACCCAGACCAGACTGCATCACACAGGCTGCATCTATGAGGAACATGAAGCAATTTGGGAACCTGTACAGGAGAACTGGCCATTCATGGGTTTGTTTTTCCTTTCTGTTGTGTTTGTAAACTTTCAGCACAAGCTTTATTCTGCTCTGAAAAACTGGAAGCCCATTTGTGTTTGGGCATACCTAAGCATATCTTCCAGCTTCATTTCATCTGAAAAGAATCCAATTCACACACTCACAGAGTCTGTTCCACAACACAAACCAAAGCCAAGTCAGTGAGGACAACCTAGAGACTTTCTTCCAAAGCATGCCTCTTAGCTAAACTCATGTTCTTATATAGATGTGTCTACAGAAAGTATTTACAGATGAACATGACCTGAACAAAGGTAATTGATGCTTTGAACTTGCTGCTGATTACCCTTTGTTTTCAAATGAAACTTCATGTACCGACTACAAACCTTACTCTCAAGGGAGTTCTTAAAGAGAGACATCTCCTACTTACAAATCAGACACGAGTTTTGAGAAGGCAGCTTTGGGGTATTTCATGTTTCGGTTTGATAGCACTATATGGAGTTAAATAGTGCTTGTTTGATTTACTGGCAGTTACAGTTTGGAGACACGGGGAACAGATATGCTCTTTAAGTGGCTACCCAGCAGTTATTTTTTACTGCAGCTGAGCTCTAACATTAGCTACTGTCATCATCCCTGCCAGCTGCTAATAAGCTCTATACAGGATTCATCTCTCTCGCATGAAGTTTTTTAACTCATACAATTCCATTTTCTTATTTCCCGCTCCATCCTTTTACGTTTCTTATATATTATAAAATCTCTACCATAACCCCACACAGACCTTGGCCATGAGGCTACGTCAAGTCTGTTATTAAAAGACTCTTGGAAACAATGATTCTGTAAACTCAGTCACTCCTCTTTCCTTATACAATGAAAAGTCCAAACCAGTCAAACTGCTGTTTCCAAGTAAAAAATTGATGTTAACATCTGTGATAATTTTGATGAGGTGGCTAAATCCCCTGAGAGTAAAATGCACAACATGGCAACAGATTACATGTACAAAACCTGCTACAGGAATCGTACGAAACCCACCCACAAAGCCTGAAAGAATACTTTATGTACTGACTGGCATGTGAGCTGAAGCTTCTCTTGCACCCAGTCACATTGACACCACACTCTACACACAAAATCATGCTTTTACAAACACACCCTTGTATAAATTACTTATCAACCAAGCAGGGAAGCTAAAACTTAGCCGAGATTTAAACACAATTGGAAAGTGTTCCAGTACAACTACTGGTGGTTACTGGTCCTTTAAAATATTTCAGAGGAATTTCTGTTTTTACACTGATACAAATATTCAATAAAGGCTGTGTTATGAAAATGTGACATGGAATTCAACAGAAACGAATAAAAGAAGTTCCATCTTTCATTAGCACTAATATTTGTTTAGAAGCACCTCCCCACTGACATTTGGGGAATGCAGGGAACTAACAATGTAGCTGGCTGTTAAACCTCAGGGAGTTAAAATACCGCTGTCTCTAGAAATGACAACATGGATGGCATAAGTTTCATCTGCTGGATCAGGTTTCCAAATCTCTGACAGGGAACTTCATCACATCAAGGAAATTTTGCAGACTGAGTCTCTGGCTTCCCTCCCCCAGGCCCTGCCAGTTAGATGGTAACTGGAAGTACCAGACAAGACTGAGATCTGTTTTCTTATCAAAATCAACAGAATACTTTTGTTTCATTGCAGAACTGAGAGACGTCTTCACCTTACTGCCATCAAATATTTAGGTGAAGTTCAAGGAGAAACATGGTACAGAAACCAGTTAACTTTTAATATGTTCAGTACTACAATCAGCTCAGCTATCTTTAGCCAATCCTCATATACACAAGGGCCACTTCTAACTGCATTTATCAGCTGTCAGCAGCAACCACAGAAGAGATTTTAGATACTCCTCGAGCTTGTGTTGCAAATGTAACCAATTTCCATCACGCTTGTAAAAGCACTCGAGAATTGAGGAAGACATTAAAGTATTTATTTTGTTGGCATGAAACTTTCTTTGTGCTCACTGGACACTAAGTCAGGCTAACACTGCCTTTGGGAGCCCCTGATTAAGCCTGTTTGCTTGGCAGGGTGAAATCACTAAAATAAGAAAGGAGAGAGCATTTTTCTGTCTACAAATGTTTCTGCTATTATAAGAAATTAAAACCAGTTTTTCCTTCAGCTTTACTTAGAGTCATAGGTAAAACCAGGAGATGAACCCGGAGGATGAGAGGGATAACTGGGGAGGATAAAGTAAACCATAATACAACGATTAAATAACGGTTTATAAATAGAAATTCTGACTCCACTAAATAGGGAAGAGATTCACTAAATTAAGATCAGCACTGAAAAAGAGAACACACAATAATCTGAAAATCACCGTGACCACTGAGAAGCTTTTCCCTTTTAGATGACTACAAAAACCAAGGAAGTATCATGTAAGTACTTCATTCTTCTGTTTTGCTGAAACTTACCAATGGCCCGGCGGAAGTTTTCCATCAGCACTTCTGTTTTCTTGATCTCGGTGGAATAGACCTCGCTTCCAACCATAGGACAGAAGGGAACTTTGCTGCCTAGTTCCTGAGCAATAGCTAAAGCCAAAGCAGTCTTAAACCAAAAACAAACCCAAAGATTAACTTTTAGGAGAATTAGCAAAGGATTCTTTCCACACAAAGTTAACTCTCCTCAATTTACCACCTTCCATACACCAATTATCAGTTTAATATTAAGACTATTCTGCCTAACATATATTTCTCACATGTAACAATGTTCCGCCCGCCAAGTCAAGTTAGACACATAAAAAGTGATTTTTATCAATGACTTATAAAACACCTTAAGAAACAACAGTGGGCATTTGAATTTGACATCTGATACAAATGCAAAAAACTACTTAAATACCCAAACAAATGAAGAGCTATGTAGGCTTTTAATATAAAATTAACTCCTAAGACTCTTCTTCAGTGTTTGGTAACCTACAAAAGGTGGTTTGACGCTACTGATGCCTGAACACACCACTGGATACTGTCACAGTTGATGATATGGCAATAAACAACATATAAAGCTGGAAACCATGTCACTGCAGTGATGAAAGAAATGCCCCCAGGTGAAAAGAGGATGCAACCGCTCCCGTGGAACAGTTTTGACAACAAATTAAAATAAAATAGGTTTAGGAATACTTCACTTCATATTAAAAAAAAACAAAAGGAAAGTAGTACCTTGCCAGTTCCAGGAGGTCCCGCCAGCAGCACGGCTCTGCCAGCCATCTTCTTGCTTTTGATTAGTTCCACTATAACCCCACAAGCCTACAAGTTCGATAAGTATTTATACTATTAACACAAGGATTGCTATAGTATCTTTCGCACCAATATTACTGAAAGTGTTTTAAAATACTTGGCTTTGTGAGCCCACTAAAGCCGATTTCAGTTCTATGCACACAAAAAGGGGAGACAAGATCAGGAAACTACTTCCTACAGTCATTTTATGTGACACGGATGCTAAACAACAATAAACCAGAGACTACAGAACTCAACCGCAGAGCACAGGCTCCCTCACCGCTCCTGGAGCTGCACCATACAGAAAGGTTTTTCGGCTCTGAAAGGCGCATGAGCTGCAGCACCGGCCCCGGGCTGGGACGGGAGCTCCGATCTCCACTCGCACCAAATCTCTTGACTTTTGGTAAGTTCAATTGCCTCCGATACCCGAATTTCTGCGCCTAAAACTCGGGGGGGGGGGGAAGCACCCGCCCTTGCCGCCGGGTGATGCTAAGAAATAGCGGCGTAGGGACCAACCCCGATCACCCCCATCGCTCCCCACAGCACACGGAGCAGCCCAGGCGACGGCTTTCTCTCACTAACGGGACTTCTAAGCACACTCCACACAGACCGAACCGGGCCCCCCCCCGGGGTTCCACCTCCACCCGGGGCCCCCCGCTCACCTCCCGCGCATTCTCCTGCCCCACGAGCCCGGCCCCCGCCGGCTTGGCGGTGCCGCTGTCGTCCAGCCCCAGCCCCTTGACGTGGCTGTGCGCGGCGATGCGCTGCGTCTTGGAGGTGCTCTTCACCTCCTCGATCTTCATGGCGAGTCACACCCGTTCGCACCGACCCACGATCACCACACGCGGCCCGCGCGTTACCAAGGCTCCCGGCGCGCGGCCGCCTAAGCCCGCCCCACCGCGCTCATTGGCCCGTGCGGCGACGCTCTCGATGCTCATTGGACGCGGCTCATGCCCGTCACCCGCAGGGTGTGTATCTTAATAGAGTCCGACCACCCGTTTCCGTGTGCGGCGCTTCCCGAGGGTTCGGCTGGGCGCGGGCGCTGCTAAGGAGTCGGGCCGGGAGGAAGGAGGCGGCAAGGGCCGAGCCTGGCCGGGAGGGGGAAGAAGGACACGGACCCTCATGGAAGGGAAAAGGAGCTGGTTCTCGCTCGGCGGATTTCTTGGCCCTACAGCGACATAAACACCTTCTGCCTTCGTTGGAACTGGGTTGGTGCTCAGCCAGTGCTTCTCCTTGTGCTTCTGTCTCCGTCGGTACTCGGGCTTCCTGCAGCGGGCCAGGAACTGTGAGCAATGCTTTCTGGACTCCGCTGCTGGTTTTGGCTTACGAAAATAATTCAAGATGTTATGGATTTGTTTTTCTAAGTCTTTGTTGAAAAAAGAGTAAGGGCTGTCCTCCAGGTAACAGCAGTGTTGCTCACTGACTTACAGCTTTCAGTGCAGTGGCAAAATAATCCTATTCCACGTGCCCAAAGCCTTTATGTAAGCATCAGAGTTTGTAACATCTGCTGTACCCATGACATGTGTTCATCCTGACCTGCTGAAACTGATTGTGAGTTTTCATTGTGCTGAGACGCTGGCACAGGGTGCCCAGAGAAGCTGTGGCTGCCCCATCCCTGGCAGTGTTCAAGGCCAGGTTGGACACAGGGGCTTGGAGCAAGCTGCTCTAGTGGAAGGGGTCCCTGCCCGTGGCAGGGGCTGGAGCTGGAGGAGCTTTAAGGTCTGACCCAAACCAGTCTGTAAAATGGGCAGGAATGCTCCACCTTCTCATCATGTCGTTTCATGGCCTCACAGACCTTGCCCTGGTTTCAAGTCTGTGATGCTACAGCTGTAGCTGTTCTGACCCCTAATGGGGGCTGAGCTGTAATTCTGCTGCACCTTTATATAATGTTTGAATACTTGAGATGGAAATCACGCACTGTGGAATTGTAGGTGAGATCTGTGAACCTGTAGTTCCAGTGACTTCACAGTGTTTGTGGATATTGGAATCTCTCTCCCCTAAAAAGAGAAGTCCTTCTCCCCATAGATAGTTTTCTGTGTTTGATTATAAAACTATGGTTGTGTCCGCACTGTTCAAGGCCAATGGATTAACATGGGGTGATGCAGGATTGCTGTCTGTGCAAAGGGATGGTGCTCTCTTGGCTTTCCCAGGCACTGCCAGCGAGATTTGCAATAGCAATCATATGAGGGTACCAGCTGGGAGAGTGGCCTTTGGGAAGGATGGGGGTTATGGTTCAAGCTGCAGAAGCCCAGTGAACACAATATTTGCTGTTTGTTCCCTTTTTGTCTAAGAGCTTGTATGAGTTTTGTTATAAATGGCATTCACAAAGACTTGGCTGTTTGCTGCTTTCTTTTTATGTTAATTGCTCTGTCAGTTTGTATTTACATACACTCGTTTAAACTGGGACTTACACACGTGTAGTTCAACACCTTTGTAAGGGTCTGTCCGGTTATACAGCTCTTTAGCTGGAATTTCTGAAGCTAACAAATACGAGCTTTCCTCTAAATAATTAAAGAAGTATGCACACTGTTGGACTCCGTACATCCTCTCAGGGTCATATTAGTCACAGAATACAGATGCTAAATACATCCTGAGCTGCAGAGCTTTGCCTTTGTCAGAGAGCAAATATACAACTCTGATTTCTCCAGTGCATTAAACTGCCATGAGTGCTGTGGGTGAGTCTGGGCAGAGCTCAAGTTTCTGCCAGTTCTGCAAGGATAATTAGCAACTCTCCTAAGAGCTCTTAGACAGTGACGTTGTTAACAGGAGGTCCAGGCCCTCTCTTATAAGAAGGGCTAGCAATGAGTGAAATGCATGGTAACCTATTAATTTAGACTGAAATCTGTCCATATGCTCCTTGTTATCTTCTTTGATGTCACAGTTAGGCCTATCTTTGAGATTATGGTGTTTCAAAGAGTAATAATACTTGCTTATTTCTTTTTGGTGAAATTCAATATATAGGAATGCAGATGGCAGGGATAGAGAACTCCTGTTAATCCTCATTAACTCAGAGGAGAGAGACCAATATTCCATGTATGTAACAATCAGATGTGCTACATAAGGTTCTTTAACTTTTGGAAATACTAACTAAATTAGAGATTGTTTCCTGATAAAAGTGGGTAACAAACAGAAGTATTAAATGTTTGTCCAAAGCAGTATGATGTCTAAAAAATAGAATCTAAAACTTCAATTTGCTGGTGACTACTGCTATTCTGTAAATAAAATCTATGGCTGTGATGAAGCCACAATTTTAGTATTGACCTGCAGAAAATGCTTTGGAAATCATTTGGGTTTGTATTTGCAGTAGAAGAGGAGATTTCAGTATAAAAAAGAAGCAGGGAACACTTGTTTGCTCAATAGATGTGAGGCTGGCTTCTCCCTCTTAACCGCTCAAGCTAATACCGCTTAACGGGGTTTACAATCACCCGTATGCTGTGCGTGGTTTGCCATAGCTCATTGTATTGATTGTTTTACTCATTCCATATGTTCTTTGAGCACTGTACTGAAATTGCAGTTCAAGGGGGAGAAGAATACATTTGGGTGAGGGTAAATAAACAATAACCCTTTAGACCACACAGGATTAATTGCTTATTCTCCAGAAAGAGCAGAGTACAAGCAGAACTACTGGAAAGTTTAGAATAGAAATAGTTGAAAAGCTCCTTTATAATTGCTGTCTGATGTGCAATGATGCATCAGTATAAGGAAATATTAAACCTCGATTTTTAACAGGATTTTGGGGGTTTAGGAATAGTTAACACATTAGAGGGAGAGGGTAAAATAACTTCATTGCAAAGCATGAGTCATCTTTCTCCTTTGTCCATGCCACCAGTGGAACATGAGTAGGTTGTTCGACCATTCTGCCCATCTCATGTTATAGGTGCTTTGAGTATAATTGAGTATTTCACTAGCCAGTTAACCAGAAAAAACAATACCTGTCACTAAGAGTCTGAGCTGTTATTCCCCAGCTTTAATCAACTCATTTTACCACCGTTTCTTTTGCCCCCCTGTTTGAGGTCTCCTATTTGGCACAGACGTCATGCGATACCCGATGTGGGAGCTGGAGACTTGAGAGCTGTTTTCCTAGACTAAATGTTTGAGGTTACAGGACGTGGCCCAGTTTCACATAAGCTTTCAAATTTCAATGGGACATGCTGAATCCTGGATCTGTCAAATAGTGTATTATTTTTGGAGTGAGAGAGAGTATGTGCGTGTAAGTGTGTGAATGACCTTTACATTTTTACCCTATCCCCAAAGTCTGACTTCCTGCCCTTTCTCCCATGAGTCCATAAACTTTAGCAATTAAAGTGAACACTCTTTAAGGAAGAAATTCAGGATAGGAGAGAGCAACTGGGAAAAGGAATGGTGCATTAAGGGGAAAACGGAAAACAGCTAAATGCTGTAGACTGTTTGCTTTGTGATATAGAAAAATCGGGAGAAGCTGGAATTCTTTCATTTTGCCACATTCCCTTCTCCTCTGTAGTAGTATCAAGACTTGGGTGATATTGTGTGGTTCTGGGCTTTTTCCTGCAAAAGAAGCTGGAAGATTTTTCTCTGACTCTTCATCAAGACAATGGGAATGATGGATCTTAATGAATGCCAACTCTTCAACTTCCAAACCTGTAATTAATTCTAAAGCTTTCTAAGCTAACAGAATGGATCTCTAAACACTGCTTACATTTTGATTTCTCATTTCTCCTCCTTGACGTTGGTGGTGTAAGTGCATTCATTTCACAGGTGCCATGTGCACCCTGAGCTTGCAAAGAGCTGTGCTTCAAGTGATAGGTTGTAAAATCAGATCCATGGACTCCCAAATCCTTGAGACAGGTATGCTCCTTCCCCTCATTGCCAGCAGAGCTGTAGAACTTTGAGACCTCTTTCCTTTGTCAAAACTTGAAAATGGAGTTATTTTAGGAGTTCTGGGGGGACTTCTGGATAATGCCTCTTTTAGGGTAGGAATTAAGACCTTTTTCCACTTCCTCCTTCTGAAGTCATCTAATAATTAATGCTAAAAAAGGAATGCAATGGTAGGAAATGTGATACAGGGATACCAGTGTGGATTACAACTGCATAGGGTTGTTTCATATGGGAGCAGATGTATACTTGCCCTTTACTTTGCAAGCACTTATTGATGTAACAGATTGAGACATTCAGGACAAGGAAACATACATGAGTCCTATGATTTAACAGGAAACTATTCAAAGCCTGGGAACTTGGTCTGGAAAGTGACATTATGCTTTATTTGGCTCCTATGACAGAGTTCCCATCAAACTGAACTGTTCAGCTCAAGAAGTTGATTATAATGGGGCTAGTGCAGTGCTCCTTGTGAGTTCACGTGGCTGCTTTAGGGAGACAGTTGTCTCAAAATACCATGGAAAGCTATTTTTTCTCTTTCCTGTCACCAAGTTATTGACTCTGTCGTCTTGACTTAGGTGTGCTTGGGAAGGAGGTATGATTTGTACCCAGCTTTAAAGCTCTGCAAACTCACATTGAAAGCACTGTTACATGAAACAACTTTCTGTGAAAGAAAAACCCTGGAGTTTGGTGTCAAAGCCTAAAAAACGACATTTGTGATGTTGACAATAACCTTAAGCAAGTCGTCTTACATTTCTGGCTCATTCATTACTCAGCTATGAATGCTGAATACTATCAGCAATGTATACTACTTCCTGGGGAGAGCAAACAACACAATGGCACTGCTCCCAAAGAAAAAGATCTCTGGAATATAGTGCACGTCTGGTCTAGTGGGGCACCTGTGTCTGTAACAGTCTTGTTTTCTCGGCTTGCAAACAGCTTTTGTCATTTGAAGTGATGTTTAGGATTACTCAGTGGTCACTATTGAAAATACAGAAAACGTGTCATGTTTATTGTGGAATGCATTTGGCACTGTGTGACCTGGGTTATCAGTAAAGCCAGGTGACTTAAAGCAGTGAAACGAGCCCTGCTCTGGCCTCTCAGGTGCTCTCTGATGCTCATCTACCTGTTAGGGTTTTTTTTATTGTTGGTTTGCAGGTGAGCTCTCCATCACCACTGATAATCTTGATTATTCTTAATTCCTTCAAGGTATGACTTTTATACCGCACAAACTTCCAGGAGAATGACTTCTGCAAACCCCAAAATTGTTGATTGAGCAAACGCACAAAGTCTTAATCTGCCTTTTCATACCAATTGGCCTCGGAGACCAAACCTCAGCGCCGCACTTGCAGCGGGGCCAGGGTGGAGGTATCCCTGCAGGCAGCACGAAGTCGGATCGGGCGGAGCGGCGCAGCCCTGCAATCACTAATTAGTGTGGGCATGATGAGAGCGAAGCGCAGGTGCCGCGGGGCAGCGGCAATGACCCGTCCCGGGGTTCCCTCCTCCTGCGATGGGGCTATGAGGAGCCTCACCTGGGCAGAGGGCTCAGCTCCGGGGTGTGCGGCCATCAAGAAACCTCGTTAGAGGCCTCGCCTGGGTGAGGCCCCTTTGGACCGGGGGAGGTCTGCGAGCGGGTACCGGGGTGAGCGGAGCCGCCTGCCCGTTGCAGACCGGCGGTTCTCAGCCCTTAGCGGCCGCCGCGCAGTCCGCAGCCGTTCCGCGGCACCCGCCTGCTGCGGACGCGGCCCTTAACGCGTGTCTCAGCGCTGGGATGCCGGTGCCTGCGTTCCCCTCGCTGCAGCCGCGGCGGGGCCGGGCTCGGCTTTCCCGCTGCCCGGGGCTCATACGGAGGCCGCGGAACGACGGCGGCGGGGCCCGCGTTGCCGCAGGGGCGCTGTTGGGACGGACCGGTCGGGTGCAGCGCAGCCATGGCCGCCGGGCCCCGTGTGCTCAACGTGAACGTGGGGGTCCTGGGCCACATCGACAGCGGGAAGACGGCGCTGGCGCGGGCGCTGAGCACCACCAGCTCCACCGCCGCCTTCGACCGGGCGCCGCAGAGCCGGGCGCGGGGCATCACGCTGGACCTGGGCTTCTCCTGCCTGCGCACCGCTCTGCCGCCGCAGCTGGGCCCGGGCCCCGGCGAGCTGCAGTTCACGCTGGTCGATTGTCCCGGGCACGCCTCCCTCATCCGCACCATCATCGGCGGTAAGGGGGGAGCTCGGGCCGGGCCCCGGGGGCTCGGGTGCCGGGGGAGGGCTGGGGCGGAGGTCGGGTTCCCACGGGTCTGCTGCCTTTGCCGCACTTTGTGATTCCCCAAGTAAAAGAGCGATTCCCGTGCAAAAGCGGTTGGTAAATGTGAGCGTTTTGGGGTTTCTTATGCTTACTCGGGGAAAAAAAGTTCAATGTATACAGAGACCTCGTTTGTGCCATTAAGGGCAATGCGAATGTCTGGTTTCTCACTTGTTTAAAGCTGTCACGCTTTGATACTCCCCGTGGTTGAGCGCTGTGGTGCGCTCTCTGAGCGCGCTTGTGCTGCAGCTCTGCAGAGCTTGGGCAGCTCTAGCACGATGACCTTCTGTTTGGAAGGAATGTTGTGGCTTTTAGTGACTTTCCCGTCCAGTCTTCGTAGGTGATGTCAGAAGGTTAACGTGGTTTGCATTAGAGCTCATTTACAGTGAGCTCATATCGCATGGAACGAGGTAACACCTCCCCCTTCCACCTCTAAAAGGAATGGAGAGGGGGTTGGTGCTTGGCTGAAGGTGTAAGAGTGGCACTTTGCAGGCTGCTTTTAGCTCTCTCGGGTGGATAAACCGCAGGTACAGGCGCCCTGGTAGTGCCTGTGCTGCAGTGCGTGTGGCTTCTCAGATGCAGTGAGGTGCAGGCCACGTTGCTGCTCGCGAATGAGCCCCCTTTGGGGTTATTTGTTAGTAGTCGATGTGGTGTTAGTGTTCCTTTTGCACAGGATAACAACCATTTACTTATCGCTTTCGCCAGCAGCGAAGCGCCCGGTGCCGCCCGTCGGCGCGTACCCACAGGGAAGGGGAGGCGAGGCGAGGCTGGGTGCTCCCTTCCCCGAGCCCGGGGTCTTTTAAGGTGCTTTTGTTCTTTAGCATCGGCGCTCAATCTGCAGTGGCCGAGCACTTGATTAGCCTCTAAAGAACAGAGTTTACTTTGGCAAAGGTTTCTTGGATGTGCTGACCTACTTGTAGTTAGACATTCCTTTCTGCCAGCAACAGCTCATGTGAGCGGGGTGAACTTCCTCATGAAGAGGACATGAGAAAACTTTGAAAACCAGCTCCTTTTTTATTTATCACTTTAACGCTTATCTGGGGTGATTGGTTAATATAAAGGCTTCGTGTTGTTTCCCATAGTTTTTGTGAAGGACTTCAAAGCGTTTAGTCCCAGATGGCCTCATTGGTTGAATCAGTTATTCAGATTTCCTTATTGATAGGCTGTGCTGGGAGCAGAAAAGATGTGGCCAGTGGACCAGACTTAGATGAGTTTCCTTCCCAGCAAAAGTGATTTTTTTACAGGTGGCAATTCAGACACATAAGCATGTTAAATTCACTTAGTTCCAGCTCTATCAGATTATGTATCTTGGTGGAAACATTTGATTAGCATGGTATACTGCAAGTCTATGTATTGAGTGGTAGAGAAATACTAGAGTTAGAAATTCCAGTTTTCTGCTTGATGGCAAATGTGTATCTTGATAGTGGATTCCTTTTTGGTTTTACTACCAGATTTAAAAGGGGAAACCTTGATGATGAAACCTCATCTATGCCTGTGGGACTCTAGATGCTTACACTTTTAGTGTGGTTTGGTGAAACTTGAACTGAAGTAAAGCATATCTTGTGTAGCGGGATACATCCTTTGGTAGGCAGGTGTCAGGATTTCCGTATTGCCAGCTTTTCCAGCTCTTCAGAAATGGAAAGCTGGGCCTCCCAGGTAATGAACTTGGAAAAACTCGATTGTTTTCACCTGCTTCCTGATCACGAGCATTCAGGGTTCACCATTCCAAGCATTTTCTTTGCAATCAGATTTGCTGCTACTTTTTTCTTTTCGATGGAATCTGTGATCTCTGTGTTACTGCAGATTTTCTCTATATAAGGCTTTTAAGTTTTAAGTGCAAAGTGCTTTATTCGCCTATATTTATTCTGCATCTCCGATCTCTCGCACCTCTCTAAAACGCTGCTTTTCTGACATCAAGTCCTGCAGTGGCTCCTCTGTCTTTTCTGTGCTCCCACAGTGCTCTAAGGGTTAACTCCTTTGCTGTACAAAGCTGATAAATCTGCTTATGGATTAAATAGTATTATTTACCATTCTTTAACATATTTCTGTAGCTAATTCTTGACGTGGTTTTTTTTCACTGCTGCCTCTAGTATTACATTTTTGTCATGCTATGCCAGGTAGCACTTGACCTTGCAAATACTTCTGACAGTCACTCACAAGATGCTTATTTCGTGTCAGTACGTTAGGATAAAATGAATGCAGAATATTTGAGCAGTAACCAAATGGAATGGAAAATGGAAGTCGTATTTCATCCTGTGTGGCAACATTTTTCTTGCAAAGCTTGTCCTTGAAAACAAACCGTATCAAATGTACAATCACAAGATGGTTGTTTTTTGCTTTACCTGCATGCAGGGAATTGGAAATGCTGCACGGTTCCCCCCAGATGCTTTTCCAAAGTTTTAGCTGGAAGGTGACAGTCAAGGTTGGAAGGGAATAAATGACTTGCTCTGTCATGACTTTAAACCATGCTGGTTTATTCTTCAGCAGCAGTTGTCTATGTGTCTGCTGTGGCAGGAAGGTATTAAGTCATTGTGGATAGCTGTATGGCTTGGGCTGTGTCATGTATTTCTTTTTGCCTTATGCTTTTGAACATCAAGAGCAAAACTATTTCTCAGTAACTTCAAGCCTTTACCCATCTTCTAGCAGGGTCTTGTCTATCATGTACCAGACAGCACAGTAAATACTGTATTTATAGCTGTTCGTAGATGACTTGGTAAGCAGAGAAGACAAACCTGAATAACTGAATTTTAGGAGTCAATGCTTTAGCTTGGCACAAGCCCTAAGAAATGCCCACAGTAGCTTTATGCTTGCCTTCTGTACTGAAGGAATGACCACAAAATTCAGTGCTGTTATTTTTATAGAGTGGTATTTTGTTAATGTTTCACACCAGGATGGGGTAGTTTCTGACACGGTTTTACAGGGTTTTATAAGCTCCTGTCTGTTACATTTCAGCATGCTTATCTACCACAAAGCTCATGTTAACGTCACTCACTGAAGTAAGACAAGAGTTGCTTTTACACTTGCTTTCTGCAGACCTGTGCCTGCGGTGGGGTCTGGAGCGGTTTCTCAAACCAGTCCAGCAGCAAGGGGTGCCCGCAGAGAGGTTCTGTGAGTTCATCTGCCAGGAGAAATTCAATCCCCAGATTTCATTTTCAGACTGCTTTGTGGAGCAAAGTAGTTTAAGCAGCAGCAGATTTTTTTCTGTGCTGGTGGCTCATGTCATGGCCGGGGAAGGGTCAGCACCCAAACCCAGCAGAACTCGGTTACCCCCTCCCAACTTCCCCACGCAGCCAGGGGTGCTGCAGTGTTTGATTTAGGTGAGTTGTTGTCAGCTGCCCTTCATCTCTTTGATTTTGAGATGGGTCCTCAAAAGAACTTCTAGAACTTCTAGAAAAACTTCTTCCCCCCCCCCCCCCCCCACCCCGTGAAGTTCAAAGGAGCGAGTAGCCTCATAGGGTTTTATTTGGAAAGCTACTGCTTGACCCTGGTTGTCTAAACTGGGAAGGGGGTGGAATTCTGCCCAAGTTGTAGTTTTGTAATCCTTCTGCCTGTCTGAACCTTCGACCTCTTCGCTCTATAACTGGAGCTTCATTGTCACCATTTGTCCCTGCAGGTCCTTCAAAGCAAGCTGCCTTGCAAGTGTCTGTTTCCACTTTGCTGCCGTGTTCTCCTAAGGAAGGGTATTAATTCATACCTGATACATCGCAGGGGCCGAGACTTTTGAACTCGCACGAGAGCTTGGGGAGGGGGAAATGAGCGTAGCGAAAGCAGGTCTTGCTGATGCAAATGAGTACAATGAAAACAGTCTTGGGAGATCAAGGGGGCTGTGGTCTCGCTACCAGTGTTCAGACTCGGTCAGATGCAGGTTATTTGTAAGATTAATAAAGCACAACCCTCTCCTCCCTAGTTTCTATCACAGATGAGTTGCTTTGCTGAGTTTGTTGTAAGCTTTTAAGGGGGTTTGTGAGCTTGGGGTTACCTTTGCGTTACTGTCGTGAGAATACACTTCTATTGGTGTGAACTTCTACTTCTTGATACCTTTGTGAGTCATAGAATCAGATGCGTTGGAAAAGAGCCTTAAGATCATGAATTCCAGTTGTTCTCCCCAGCACTGCCAAGGCCATCACTAACCCATGTCACTGAGGGCCTTGTCAATGCTGTGAACGCTTCCAAGGATGGTGATTCTACCACTGCCCTGCACAGTGTGTTCCAATGTGTGACTGCCATTTCAGTGAGGAAACGTGTCCTCATCTCGAATCTAAGCCTCCTCTCACTCAGCTTGAGGCTGTTTCCTCTTGTCCTGTTGCTTTTTACTTGGCAGAAGAGACCAGCTATGTCCTGGCTTCATCCTCCTGTCAGGTAGGTATAAGCAGGTAGAAGATAGGATTGTTCTTCTTGTTTCCATTCCAGGTGAGTGAACAGGTAGTTTCATAGTTTTAGGGTGTGTATATGGGTGACTTACATTTATGTGGAGGCCTCTTGCTGTTGAGTGGATGCGTGGAAGGAAAACCTGTGCTTCCCTGGAGGAAAGAGTGCATTGGGTGGTTCGGTGGATGCTGTTCTGGTCAGAGAGATGTGATGGAGAGTCTTGAGGACTTTGGCTGCCAGTTTGAAGTGAGAATAACATAATAATGAACCTTTTCTGGTGGGGAAAAAAATGCTTACATACAACTCTCATGTAATTCCTATTCACAAGCCTCACTGTAGTGATTGGTGGTGTGGAATGAGAGTACTCATGGACTGAGAGAGTTCAACTAGCGCTGGTGGGGATGTTTTCTAAACCCTATTAAACTTGTTGGGGTTGTGGTGCTTGGAAATTGCTGACATGGCTTTGTATTAAAAATGCAAATAAAGCTGTAAATGAAAACCCTTTTCTCTTGAAATTGAAACAGTGTCATAACTCACTGTGAGCAATT